ACACAAACATTTGCGAATCGAGCTACCTAAATAAAATCACCTTAAACTCTACGGACAAATTTAAAAACGTTTTCCTCTCCTCCAAAGGGCCCTTTTAATCCATGAATATTTATACAAACCATCCTCATTTCATTTTAATACCATATGTAGATTTATCAATGGTTCATTTTTTCAGTAAAAATTTTGGACTAACAGTACTCATTCATTACTCTGCTGATTTCAATGGATAAGCAAATACAGAGTTCCTTTTGTTTATTGTTCGTCCCTGCACCTTCAAGACAAAAACATCTTGCATCAATACCAAAACTATAGACATGACTTCTGTAAATGAATCTTTCAGATGACAAGTATTTCGGGCATCAAGCCGACAAATCGTATATAATTCTAAATCTAACAAAAAATCGTGAAATATCTACCAGGAAGATCAGCAGAACATAGAACCGTCATCGATCTGATCCTCAATTTATATTCAATATAATATTCAATGCGGTGAGATTTGGTCTAAAGATCCCATTAATAATTATTCGCACTCTATTGATTTTTGAGAGCAGATGTTCCCTTTACAAATATTTTTCATTCCTGATATCAAACGCGAGCTTTCCTCAAATAAACAGTGTCAAATCGAAGACAGGAAAGAGGAGGGCAAAAAGGTAGTCCCTTTCATTTTTTTTTTCGATGAACCAGTTTCTGTTCTAGCAGCAGAAATCACTTTTAGAATTTCATATCATAAATCTTACCCTCGTCGTAAAAGTATGTTAAATTAATCAATGCAGACGGGACAGCATTGTTATCTCATCCACGACTACTCGCATTATGCCACTTTCACATGGGTTTTTGTGGCTTTAAACATTGCATCATCCATAACAGCAACATTAGGAAATGCACTAATCCTTGTTGCACTTCAAAAAGGGTTATCCCTTAATCCTCCGTCCAAATTATTTCTCCGTTGCTTGGCATTCTCGGATCTCAGTGTTGGCCTTCTCGCGCAACCTGCAACAGTGATTCCCTTTTTATTTGCCGTCAACCAACATTCGGATCTGTGTCTAATCAGCGATCATATTTATAATTTTGTCACCACAGTCTTTGGTGGATTTTCTTTTGCAACAATAACCATCGTTAGTGTGGACAGACATCTTGCTTTGAAGTTAGGGATCAAGTACCGCCAAGTTGTAACTGTCAAGCGAGCTAGAGGTGTTGTTGTACTGTTCTTGTTTGCTTCTACTGCTAACTGCTTTACAGTCCTCATAAGCTACACCGTTTTCACTATCTGTAACTTCATAATGTGGTCTTTATGGTTTATAACATCCATGAACTGTTAGACGCGAATCTATCTCACTCTCAAAAGTCATATCCAAGCTCAAATCACTCCACAAGGCCATCCCAGTGGGATTTCACCCGCGACCTTGTCGCGATACAAAAACACAGTGTCTACTGCACTGTGGCTCTTTGTTGCAATGACAATTTGCTAACTTCCGATTGGTTTGACTTTCATTGCTCATAGAGCTACTCCACCCAGCGTTTCATCGATGATGATGGAATATTTTGCAATCGCATTGGTTTCTCTTAATTCATCGATTAACCCTTTCCTTTATTTCTGGAAAAACAGAGAAATAAGAAATGCAGTAAAAGATATACTTAGAAATCTGGCACAATAGTTATGTGTATACGGAATGGAAACATCGAGTAAAATCAGTTTAAAACTACTGATGTCACACACACACACACACACACGCTAGGGAAGGCCAGCTTCTGGTTCATGACCACCCTGAGTAGAATAACTAATAAATCTGTTTCAATTAATTCTAAATTGTCTGTTTCAACTAGAAATGGAACACAGTTATAGCATGATTCACTGAATGATTTTTGATATAGGAAACTGCTGAAAGAATTATAAACTGCTGTCACATGATATATTTGCAACTTAAAGTTACTGCGTTCCAGCAACTCCTTTCTCAGGAATGCCATCGTAAATTTCCAAAAAGCTCGTGAAAATCTGCTAATTGACATTCATAGATTTCTCTCACTATTTGCCTTTCGCATATAAGTAATCATAAGAAAGCTAAAAAGCCTTCTTTAAGGCAATATACCTTGGACCTGGCATACTGCAAAATGTCCTCTACAAAATCTCAAAATACAATCGTGCTGCAACGTCTCTGGGCATTAGTTACGTAAAGTCTGGGTTAAAAAGTGACTTGAAATGTCGTTGTCCGCATATTTTCAGTGTACTAAAATACAACAAATCTATAACCATTCCTATGTATTCCAAACCCTAATAAAGCTTTCACAAACATTGGAAATTATTTTAAGGCAAGAATAAAGAAATTTACCAGTTGCAAATTTTCCCAAAATCTACAACAAAGAGCATTTATGCTTGAAGAGTTGCTTTTAACAGGTGTATTATACAAAATATATGAATGTGAATCAGAAGACAATTTCCTGACAAACATTTCATTGATAGCATAGGGCCATCAACCTTAATACAGAAGAAAGTACCCGATCTCAATATACATAGTTCCTTTCTTACATAAGCAAACTTCCTTTCATCCCACTTGGTGCAAAAGTAATTAAAGGAGTACAATGATAGCAGGTAGCAATGATCACAAAAGTGCTCCCTTGATTCCGATGAGCGACAACACCCTAGCTATCTGCTTATCACTTGGATCATTACTGCACTTTCCATAAACATTGAGCAAGAACCACGAATTCCTGTTGGTTAATTTTCAAAGGATAAGAATTGGCGACATCGAGTTACAAAAGCACCAAACCTTTAAAAGAATATTGTAAACATTCTGATCTCTAGCTTGGTCTTTTGTGTTAAATAAAAATCATAACAAAGACCCTTATTCTTTGTTGACAATACATTGGGTAAATGTAATAATCAATAGAATGTTCAGTTACATAAGGTTTAAATTTGGCTCAAAAGAACTCATTGAGTACCACTCGTATTCTATTGACTGTGAAAGAGCAGATGTTTTCTTTCAAATATTAAACGCGAAATTTCAGATAAACAGTGCTACCACGAAGACAGAAAAGAGAAGAAGAAACAAGGCAGTTCCTTTAGAATTTCACATATCTTTACTTCGTCGTTAAAGTATGCTCAACTACTCAATACAGCCGGGACTCCAGTGTGAACTCCATCGCGACTCTTCACATTTGGTTACTTTGACGCCTGTTCTTGTGGCTTTAAACATTGTATCATCCATATCAGCAACATTGGGCAATGCGCTAATCCTTGCTGCACTTCAAAAAGACTTCTCCCTCAATCCTCCGTCCAAATTATTTCTCCGTTGCATGGTTTTCTCAGATCTTGGTGTTGGCCTTCTCGTGCAACCAGCAGCAGTTGCCACCTTTTCATTCGCTGTCAACCAACTCTGGGAGCTGTGTATAATCAGCGACCATATCTGGAATTATGTTGGTACATTCTCTTGTGGATTTTCACTTGCGACAATGACTGCAATTAGTGTGGACAGACATCTGGCCTTGCTGTTGGGGATCAGGTACCGACAAGTTGTAACTATGAAACGAGCAAGAGTGATCGCGACGCTGATTTTGTTAGTGTCCATAGCCGACTGCGTGGCATTGGGCGCAGGTTTCGACACTTTCGTCATCTTTAACACCACAATGTGGTCTTTATGGTTAATAATCTCCATTTATTGTTATACCCGAATCTACCTCACTCTCAAAAATCATATCCAGGCTCAAATCATTCCACAAGGCCAGCCCAATGGAATCTCACCCTTGAACTTGTTGCGATATAGAAAAACAGTGTCCAGTGCTTTGTGGGTTTTCGCTACCATGATAATTTGCTACCTTCCTTTCGGTTTGGTTTTGTTTGTTCACGCGGCCGGTTCACTGAGCGTTTCATCAATTATTATGAACTACTGTGCAATCATGTTAGTTCATCTAAATTCAACTCTTAACCCATTGCTGTATTGTTGGAGAATGCGAGAAATAAGGAGTGCAGTGAAAGAAATTCTGAGTAATCTGTTACTGTATCTCAGTTGTGTGTGATTGAAGCGGAAAAAAAATAAGTGACTGTCCTCAACAATGAAAGGAAAATGATGTCCCTTTTGAAGATAAGTCATCGAGTTTAAAGCAAAGAGGCGTCATCGCTATTCTGGCAGAGAAATCACGGGATAAAAACATATTACATTACACTGAATTAGATAAAAAATATATATTACGGTGAGATCAAGTCATGGGAACATCGAATCATGAAGGCAGTGAAGCTTGTTTTTTCATAAAGAAGGTGGACGAATATCAGGCAATAATAGACTTATTTGGCAGGGCTTATTTGGCAGAAGACAACCAGGCGTTACTGGTTTTTATATTTTTCAAAGACGAATTCGTAAACGTTGAACAGTTGGGTAGTAAATAAAACGCTGGGTTTCGGTAACATTCGAGCCCGACAAGCATAATTCCCGAAAACGGAACAACCGAGTGTCTACCACAATCATCGAAATAAAACGCAAATCATCACATAAAAATCAGTGAAAAAGGTAACTGATGTAACAGAAACATAGATAAGACACCTACAAGTATTTTAAGCTGAGACATTAGTTTCTTGCAAAACTTTCTTATACAAAATGATTGGCGAAAAAGATTCAGCAGACGCTGGGTTTTAAATATGACTTCAAATGCAGAAAAGAAGACGAGATAAACCACAGCAAGAGAAAATATTGGAACATGATTATCTCTTGACCACGCACATTATTTTTCGTGCATAGTGTGCAAGATGGGTCTTCTGCAGACTTTATAGGAACATGAAAAGGAACTCTTATGGCTGACTATTGACTAACCTTTACTGAATAATTATCTCCCAAATAAAGCGGTGAAGTAGCATATTTTGCAATCGATGCAGTGTTGGAAATGGGAAAGAGACGCCTAAGAAACTAATAATAAAAAAAAATCTTCACCCTGGAAAACATGTTCTAGCTTTTTCCTTTTCTGATAAAACAAGGAAAGTTTTCCACTCTCAAATATGAATATCGATATAGTACCTGATACTCCTTCAGTCTCTGCCTCTTAAGTCTTTTCAGCCCCACAAGTTCTCTGTATTCCTCTGTATTCCGCTGGTCTACTGGCACAGTTTCCTCATCCTATCATAAACACAGCATACAAAATGAGTTAGTAGGTAATTTTTAATACAATAATGTACATTGTACACTATGTGGCGCCTTTCGATAAAAGTGCTGTAACACCAATACCATAACAGTCGCAATGATGAAGGTGCATACTAAAATACTACAAAGAACCAATGGAAATTAAATTTAGCTTTAATTACACTGCATCAAACTCTAGCCCTTAGTCGGGTCACAATTATCTGTGTCTGCGGTATTCCCTATAATTATGACGTCTAGCAAAACTAAGGCATAAGAAAACACCGGCTTTACGCATGCATAGGTTAATTGACCACTCCCCCATAGGGCTTTTCGGGGCCATTCTCCAATTCATCCCACCCCAGGGTAGGACATCCACCACACAGTAATCTCGTGCGAGGGAAATTAACGTCTCCTACCCCTGACACCGCGGAAATACGTTTTCGTGACGTCACAGTAACTGGTCAGTGGTCATCAACTTTAGGCTGCCAAGCGCTTCCATATGTTTGCAAACTGAGTTCGCTGAAGACAGCGGCCTTTTGCGTGGTTTTAAGTTGGAAAATATGCATGATACTTCTCCTTGTTTGTTATATTTGATACTTTGAATGTGTTTTTAATACTAAAACCACGTCTTAACAAATAGCGGTATAGGGGAGTCATTTTGTTTGGAGTTGTGCTGTTTGCTGACTTAGGCTTGCCGTCCAGTTACGAAGCGCGATCTTGGTTCTTCAGTCGCCCTCGCCTTCAGAATTGTGGAAACAGCGATAGTTATCCAGAAAAAGCGGGAGATTAGTTCTGTAAGATATTTTTCCAACAAGTCTGAAGACTGGTTGGATTTTAAAGTGTTATAAGCATGAAGCGATAAAGGTAATTACTGTGTTGTGAAAATATTCATACACTCACTTTTCGCCGACGTGCGGTGCCTTTTCATTTAGGTAATTATTCGCTTGGTTGAGAATTTTACCTTTATAGACTGATTTTTCGCCATTCCACCCTTCTGATTTTCTTTGCCTTTAAGAACGGGTGTCAGTAATCAAAATATGAAAACATTTGTTCATTTCATATACTTGCAGTTTTATCAACAAGTTATCTCGTGAACAGG